CAGAGCTGGAAAATCATGGTTGGAAAAATTATTCGTTATTGAAAAAATTAACTTGATATTTCTGTATTTGTAACTCGTCACTTTTTAGTCATTACTTGTAACATGTTATTCGTTACAAATTAATTTTTTCAATAAGTAAACGCGTAATAACTCAAGTTACTTTTTAAAGTAACTTTTTCAACCTTAGCACAATTTCAGCATTTAGTCAGCTATCGTTGTAGTTATAAAAAATTGCTACGTCATTATCAAATTGTCATTACAAAAAATAAGAAAAAAATAACAGAATAGTACCTCTCCCATTTCCTGTATTTAACATACATTTAATTATAATATTATATACATATACATATATATTTGTGATTCGTCCGATACACTTTCTGCTGCATATATTAATAATAAAAAATAATATAGAGGCTTTAAATAATGAAACATTCTTTAATCAAAGTTCTTCAGTTTAACTCATTGATATAAAATGTTTTTAGCTGGCTAAACCCATTCAGTTTGGCACAGGACAACGAGCAATTAAGCTCCCAACACAGGATATTTCAGCGAATGATATCGTTACAATTGCTGCCTGGGGTTCTACAGGCTACCAAAGACCATTATGACACATAACGTTATGTGTACACTGCAAATAACTTTGTGAGCGAAATCTCGATTCAACCCTAGTTGTTGCCAAAGTAGCCTCTTCAGGAGTGGTTTTACAAAAAAATAAAAAATAAATAAAAATAAAAAAAATAAAATAACCAAATGGCATAACTCTTTACATTGGACATCGACCGCCCTATTTTCATTCATTTTACTGAATTTCAAGGTGTATTTTGCATTGAAAATTGCACTTTTTTGAAAAAAATATGCTTAAAAACTACCCTTTTTTTGTTTAATTTGAAAAAATCAGGGGTTGGTCATTGTTTTTTCGTTTTTTAAATGGCATAAATCGATAGGGCGATCTCGAAAATAGCGGACTATGTCTTTTGCATTTTCTTTGGGAGATGAAAACAGATGACAATACGTTGTTCAACGTTGATGATCAAAATTGTCATTCTGGGACGAAATGGGTTAAATTATTAATCCCTGTGAGAGGAAAACAACAATCCTATTATCACTTTTTTCATATAGAATTTTTGTATATATAAAAATAATCATGTTAAACAATGTTATCGAGAATTTGAAAAATATATATTAACATTTTTGTAATTTAATAATATATTTTTATCAAATATAGAATAACTCCGGTATATGCATGGTTGTTGAGAAATTAATATACTGTTAATTTGTTACTTTTTTTGTAACGCATAAAAAAAAAATTTTTTTCATTTAACTTTATATTTCCGAGCTTGTATCTATATATAATAGCATTATACTAAATGCAAATATTTTAAATTTTATCAATTATACTCTATTAATGTGTTCTACAAAATAAAGATAATACAGTTTGGCACATAAAATTAAAAATAATTTATAAATCTTTTGCAATCGATGTTAGTAGTCGTATAAGTACGAAGTACCCTAAAATATATAAAACAGTATAACACACAACTGTTTTCTAATTATCCTAATCTTTTATATGATCATTTGATAAAATTTATGCAAGTGTCCGAACTTTCACGAAAAGCCGCCCGTATAATAGAATCTGTCACTTGTTTACATCAGATTAACGCAATAACTTACAAGTATAGAATAGGACATATAATATTTACTTCTTGCACTAGTATACATATTACAAGCACATAAGACAATAACTATTAAGTATTATTCCTATTAATTTCACTGATGTTTCGACACTGTCAAAATTCACGAATGTTTTAATTTTCATTTCGCTCTTTCATAAATATATATAATGTACGAATACATAATCGTGTATCGTATTCACTTACCCACATTAGAACGGTGATATTATTTTCTTCTGAATACTTCATCCCACGAGCAAATTCTTAACATTATTAATCCATAAGACTATGATTTTTATGATACAAAATTATTTAATTGTACAATAATATTGATTAATATTAAAACATGTCTTTTAATTCACGCAAAACATGCCTTTTAATTCACGCGATTCTAATTACAAAGATAACTGATGGACAGAAAAAGACTGTTTCGCTTACACCCGAGCACGACAACGCAAAGCGACTATCACCGTCGCGTTACCCTGAGATACTGATGTAAACATCGCGCGCATCGATAGTCAGAGGTCGAAGTGTTCCCATGGTAATGGGTCAAAGAATGACACACCCCCGCACGCAGAGTACGCATGCTTCATCATTTCTAGGATAAAAAGGAGGGATGGTATAAGGGGAAAGTATTATACTATACTTCTGAATCTACTTTACTGTACTTTTTACTATAATTGGGTTTGTAACAGTTAATCAATTTACATGCACATCACATAATTGATAAATTGATAACGATCTTCTATAATATATTGTTATTAGATTTATAATCATTACTATTATACACTAATATGAGCAACATTTATGTTTAATTATAATTTTCTAGCTTATAATTGCTTTAGTCAACATATGTTTTTTTTTCTATAAAATTAGGGTATCTCTGATAGTTACACCTTTTTACACATAAATGTAAAAAAATAAAGATTTTTATTTGAAAAGCCTTATTTGTAGAAATAAATATTGATTAGCAATTTATTAACAATTTATTAGCAATATTAACAATGCGTATATTCTGTCCTAATATAAATTAAAAAATGTCATAAAATTAATGTTCTTCTGACATAACGTTCTTACTACATCCGTTACAGAACCATATTGTGTAGATTATATTAAACAGATAAAAGTAAATATAAACGTACTTGCGTTTTTTAGATGAAATCTAAAGATATTCAAATCAAAATCTGATCATAACGGACATCTAATTTTAAAAAATATTAATATAATTAAATTAATAGAATATTAATATTATCACATTTAAAATTTTATCAAATTATTATGAGACCAATATTAGAAAAATAATTTATAATAATAATTTATAATAATTTATAAGAAAAATTATTTATAATTTCATTTTATAACTTCTGCAAAAAGATAGTCAATCATTACCGATTCAGTGAGCACACTGCACTTCAAATCGCTAAACTAGAGCCACTCTTTTATTTCGATCCGTAAACAAATACAATCTAATAAGTACATTCAAGTGATATGTAATATATGATGTGTTAATGGAATGTTAATTGTCAACGTCCAAATACGACGTTAAACATTTCGTATATGAAATCGGCCAATTGACCTCACATAAATTTGAAATTCTGTAGAAAGAAATAAAGATCAAGCTTACATAATTTTGATTAAAACTTGAACAACTATTAATTAATCTTAACGATGTTTAAGTTTAATCACTAATAATAAGCAAGATCTTAAAAAGATGCGCTAAATAACGATTTCCCTGATCAGTATCAGACTATCAGATCCTTATAGGATCCGAAATAACAATCGGCGATTTACCCTTATAATAAAACGTAATAAACATAAACACTATCGAGAAGCGATACATTCATATCCTTAATTTTATTTTCGGAAAATCGATGTTGTAATAATGTAAAATAAATATTTTATAATTTAATTCGTAAGAAATAATTTATAAATATAAATAGAAAGTACAACATTTATATACTTTATTATAACTATTAACTTTTAATATGTACAATTAATATACAGTTTAAAATCATAGCCGCCAAGCGATCAATAAACCAATTAATGTGCTCAAATCATATATTTATAACGGATCTTACATCTGCTTAGCAATAATCTATAGTTGTTGAAAAGTATATTTTTATTATCATAATCACTCTAAGGTGAAAGATATCTAGTATTCTTACTATTTTCTTCTTTTTATTCCAGTAACAATTCACAACTCTTGCTCCTTCAGTGACGTCTATGTGCAATGAGATTTCTTTAAATCTTTAAAGTGTAAAACTTAAGCTTTGAGCTTTAAGCTGTAAAAAGAATTGATCAATCACAGTCGAATGTGAGGCGAGTAATCAGCTATGATTAGTCATGGCATTTCTTAAGGCTGAAGGTTTAAAGCTTAAATTTTATGCCTTAATATCTTGTTGTAAATGCTATTTTATAATGCACTAAACATTAAATATTAAGATATACTAGCTATACCAAGTCATACTGAATGTAATCAATACTACACGTTGTTCATATAAATAATTTTAAACAAACACTTGGCTAAATATGTAAAATATTTAAAGATTGATACATATATTTATTCCTATCATGTATTCATCTCTTAAATACAATTTTATAACAGCAATGAGATTGCTCATGTTCTTTTTATTTTTAAACATAATTTGCAAGTACAAATAAAATCATAAAAAAGAGTCGCTTTTTTCCCCAAGATTGGTTATTTCAATATTTGTTTAATACTCGTTTCCACCACTGTAGATTAACTTTAATCTCGGTTTAACTTGCTGTTCATCTTTTTCTAATTTTTAGAATTAGAAAAAGACGAAGAGCAAATTGAACCGAGATTAAAGTTAATCTACATTGGTGGAAATGCGCATAAATCAAACATAAAATTATGTGGTAAAAATAAAATATTAATTAAACGTTGATTAAAGATTTAATTCAACATCAAACATTGTCAGCTAAATATACATATAAATACACACATTCACACATAACATTATACATATATATGTACATATACGATGGTCTAAAATGTCTAAAAAAAAATATTATTTTTAAAAAATATTTATTCAATCTATTAAATTTTATTGTCAAAAGAGACATGGTCGGTTGTATCTCGCGTCAAATGCACGACAGCAGTTATAAAATAAACAGCGTAGATATCTTTACAGAAACCGCTTAGTTGAACTGAATAATATAATTATCATATTTAAAAAATGGGCTGGACTGAATTAGTGTATAAATTATTATATGCATGTATATAAGATTATATATGTATATGTATACAAAAATTTATAAGTTACATTATTGAGTTAACTCCAATCAATATTATTGATTATTTCTAATCTAATTATCTTGCATTACTTGTTTGATAAAATCCGTAAAGTAACTCACTCTGGAAAAAACATCAGGAAAACCAAGTGCACAAGGTTTTGTCCATGAAAATATACCTATTAGTACACCATTATGTACTAAAGGACTGCCACTATCGCCCTGCAAATAATATTCTGTTTCAATCGGCATTTTAATAAATATATATACTATATATTTTCACAACGTACATATACTTTAAATAACTAAATTTATAGTGTATGTATATATATATATGTATAAAATGAAAAAATTGCGACGTTTTATTTAATAAAGTCAAAAATAATATTTTCTTACAATATTTCTAAGTAATAAGAATATGTATATTACTTTTTTTATTATTATTTGAATTTTCAATCCTACATGATAAGATCACAAATAAAAAATTTTAATCATTCCAAAAAAATTTTAATACACATATTTAGAAATTATTAATAATTACACACTCACAAAATATATAAATTTAGTGCAGCAAACTATTGGACATATTTTATATAATATATTTATATTTTATCTTTATAATATATAAATATAAATTATATATAAGACAAATAATAATTAGTTATAATTTGAATCTTGTATATGTTTAAAAAGTAATATATTTTACCTTACAAGCGCCGATACCTTTCTTTTCGAATGTACAAATTTGGGAGCTAAGAATAGTAGTGTTTTTATAATAGGTCTGACATGCATTATTGTCAATAATTGGCACCGAAAGTTTTTGTAAGTCGCGAGACAACCAACTAAACGGACGAACACGACCCCATCCACTGATAATGGCATGTTGTCCAACAGGTACATCGTATGTTGCTAAAGCAATTGGCCATTGAGAGGATGATATACGAATTTCTTTAGCAAGCTGAAAATATAAACATATTACAAATATGTATAAAATTTCTAATTTTACTAAAGAAAATTTCACAAAAAACAAACTATATTTTACACTAAATATATTTTATTCAATACGATATAAAAATATTAATCTATTAGCTATTAATTATTTCAGCCAATTCATACTATCTATTAATAATCTTAAATTCACTGAACAGTTGCATATTCTCTTCATCAAATTAAATTTGATCTTCGTGCGTAATAATACCAAAGCTTTTTATTATAAGAAAATATCAGCATCTTTATTTTTGAATATTAAATTATTATAATAATAAAAATAGTTTATCTTCAATTTTAGTTTATCAAAAATTATGAATTTATCAAAGTTTATTTCCGACTTCAATTATCAAAAGATAAAAATCAAGCATGCCTCACCGTGATTACAACTAGATCAGCTATCCAAGATTTCTCAGGGCCATATACATAATTAGGATGACATTTGACATCTTTGACAGCGTGTTTTTCACCCTCTTTTAAGTTGATGCTCCCAGTGTGAGCACTGAGTTCTTCAGATGGTTCATCTATTAAGCCACATATACAATGCGCTGCACTCAGGACATGCCTTTTGCTAATAAGCGCACCACTGCAGATATGCAAGTTGTAGCTTCGTAAAGACACCTGATAAGGAAACTCAGATTCGATAGCAGACTGTCCACCAACCAAACGTCGTATACGAAGTGCCCGAATCCCTTTTCCAAAAATAACGTGCACGATATTTGTCACATTTTATTTAAAAAAATCATCGCAATGCATTTCTAATAAATAAATTGCAAGATCCTTCAGATCTCAGCGATAGATGAAGAATTCTCTCATAAAATTTATTTAAGAAAATCTTTTTTTTATAGTAATTTACAGTAATTTTATTTGATATAATAAGACTTATAGATTATTTTTTCTAAAATTTTTAATAAGATTTATCCACTATTTTAAATATGTCTATATAAATAATAAATATGTCTAAAATGCAATAATTTTAAATAAACAGTATCAATTAATAATTTATATTAGTTCTATTTTATCTTTTCTATTTTTTTTTCTTTTTTGTTTCTTTTTTCATTGTTACGTTAAATTAAATTCACATCTAATGTATTACGTTTTTCTTTTTTCGTAGATAAAAACGAAAGGATTCGTTGATGCACGTCTCCACTTACCATAACTAACGTCCAATACTAAAATTACCAAGCATATGGCAGTGAGATCCATCGTCATTATTTAGAGTTAAATACTGTAAACAAATAGATAATTTGCTAAGAAAGAGAGAGAGAGAGAGAGAGAGAGAACATCTTTACGTGAATTTATAGTATTATATATATATATACAGTATATATATATATATATATAGATATATATAAGTAAGTATTCGTATATATTTCTTAAAATTATGTTAATTTTAAATAACATATATATGTATTAATATTTTAAAACTCAACAAATAAAAAATAATAGCCATTACAGTCAAAACTAGATTTTTTAATGCTTAATATTTTTATTTAAAACAAACTATATATGTATAAAAATTGTGTTCGTAACATTCTGTTTTTATTGTTTTCGCCTCAATCAACACAGTTTTATTTATTTATTTGTTATCATTTTTATTGTTAAAAAATAAAATTTTTTAAATAATAAAAATTTTTTTATTAATACCTACTTCAAGTGTTCAAAATAACTCGTGCAAAGTTTCATTGCAATTCACTGATTATACAAATATTTATAAAACTAGTAAATATATCTTATTTATTTACTGAACAACTAGTTTATTCAACACAATGTAACTTTGCATAAATAATCTTGAATTATATATAAAATCTATATATTAAAAATAAAGATTTTTGTTTACTTACTCTTTATAATATATTTCTAAACAGCATCGATTAAAAATATACTATACTACTTATTAAAATAACTTATGCTCAAGATAGTAAACCGTCAACAAAAAAAATGTGTTATTTTTAAATGCAATTTAAATTATTTTTAATTTTTTCATTATTTTGTTATTATTTTGAAATATCTATAAAACATTCTTAATAAATTAAGAACTCTTCAAAATAAGCATTATATCAGACATGTACTGTATTTGATAACTCAAGGATCTTAAATTATAAGTTTTAATATCGGACTATCAAAATATGTTTCTACAATTCCAAATACAATAGACAGTTGAAGATTTTATCCTTAAGCAATTATTTTTGATTTTATACTCACGACGTATCTCCGGTTTATAAAGAAAAGCATTTGCGTTATGTCAAAATTTAATATATTTGTTAATATATATTTATATCTCTCAATATTTATATTTGTTATTATTTATTTATTACACTAAAGATAGTCTAAATTGTAATCGAAACGTGTGTAATTGTCAATTATTATCATCTAGTGTCGGTTTTCATTGACTTGCATTAATTTAAAATTATTTAATTTAATGTTAATTTATAATTATGTTATATACGGCATTAAATATAAAAATATATGCATGTTTTTAAATTTTCTTTTTCTAAACTATCATGAATTTCTAAATTATTTTATGTTATACCTATCATGCTTACAAATCTTGCGTGAGTCATCATACATATAACTGTAACATGCTTACTCACACTAGTAATCTAATACATCATATAAAGATCTGTAATTATATTCCGTGAATCATTTCAAAAAGAAAAATTTGTGAAAATATACATATTAGTCATTTATTTTGTCCAAATTTAAATTATTTATTTTATAGAATAAAAAGTATGACAAAAGGTAATAATTATAATACTAAAACTTCGAAATTACTAAAAATCGTCTGTGCATATGACATAATATATAAATAAATGTATCTAAAAATACAATAGCTTATTTTGGATATTTTAGCAATTAATAGACAATTAAGTATATTATGTGTGCAATAAAATGTTATTAAATTAATTTAATAGCTTAATCTTTAATAGAAAGCTAATAGCATGTGATAAATATTAGAAAGTACAGAAATATTTTTGAAAAATTAGATTTTTAATATTAAAAATTTTACTTAACAATTTTTATTTATTACATTATAAATGATTAGACAATGATAATAATTATAGTAATTCTTATAATAATTAATAACGACACTAATTAAGTAAATTAATAATAAGAATTAATATTCTGTATTTTACTTTTTATTTATCAACACACAGTAATCCGCAACAAAATAATTACAAGACATATGACACAAAAATTACAATATATTACAGGAATGTTTAGTCATAATGGCAGTATCACAATATTATTACAATAAAATTGCAATAAAATATTCCATCTCGAAAAAATGACAGTGTAATAATAGTATGGTAACATACTTGTGAAAACACAATATTAACGCAATTATATGTAACATTGCATAATAAAAGTGTGTTTGTAATTTCAAAGAAAATACAAAATAATCGAAAGTTTTCGTTTATCCATTTCCAGATTTCCAGAATTATTACCACTTAAATATTTGACTGTTCGATACAAATATTTATTACACGTTTCAAACATTACTTTTTCATTTTGTGCATAAAGATATAAATTAAAATATTTCAAACGTATAATTGTATAATATTATATGTTTGTACATATTACATTTTAAATATTATATTATATTACATTATATTTATATTATATATATATATAATGTTTAAAAACATACTTTTAAACATATTTTTTTCAATATTGATACAAACATTTAAAATATTAAATATGTACATATTTTAAGTTAAAAACTAATGTCATATATATATAATATATATATATATAATGCTTATCAATCTTATTCATCTGTCAATATAAAAAATAATTACATAAAGTTTTGCTTATAAATTTACCCATATCTGCTCCTCGTATACGTTTTGATATAATACCTGCCGCCGTAGCTCCGCGCGTGTCGTTCCTCTATCATGTAAAGATGTGCACCTTATTATTATTTGACGAGAAGTCAGCTAGAACCGATCCTGAATATCCCGCGTCTAATATCAATCGAAAGAATACACTTTCTTCACACGAGCGCGTTCGTTCAACTTGTGCACATCAATTGTCAAGCGCGCGCATAAACAGCGACGTGCGCAGCGCTGCGCGATGCGTGAGACGTGCGTGCGCGCGCACACGCGTGATTCGTGAAACATCGTCAGCGTCGCCTACGTAACCGCCGCCGCATGACGTATGCACGTAGCACGTATCATATGTGTGCATATCACATACGTGCACTCGCGACGCAACGTCAAGCGGTCGAGGTTGGTCGAGATCCCATTCGTTTTATACGTGTTCGTACATGTTGCTTACGCACGCACACGCATCACTCGTGCGCGTGTGTACGTGAAGCGCGCGAGCGCGCGTGCGTTTTGTGCAACGTTACGTTATCTACGCCAGCCAACGCGTAGCGCATCGCCTGCCTCGTCGATTCCCTCAACGAAGAGAAAGAGAGAGAGAGAGAGAGAGAGAAAGTTCGTCGGCGCGTCACCTGCATCTCACGACCTGCTCGCGATCGGTGTCCGAGTAGAATCCAGGAAGAGAACGATCCGTACCCCTACGGCAAATCGACTACTTCAAGCTACTCCATCTCAGCAGCGCCGTAATCAGGTTGATGAAGTAGCGTTGTCCGACTCCGTGCTCAACCTGTATTTTTGTACTCCATGGAAGGGCCATGTAACCTATGCTGTGAGTATCGACTTAAGACGATTATGATTCGCGCCTCCGACTGACCCTCCCGGAACGCGGCAACAGGTTCGCGATCGACGCGGTAAGCGAGGCCTTGAGACAGACCTCGCGGAAGCCGCGTTCCGAGAGGTTATGGGAAGACGATCTCTCATGTAATTTCTGGCTGCACCCATCGTGTACAAAGCTTTTTCCTTGTCTCTCTATCTAGATTTGTTTTTTTTTTCTTGCTTTCTTTAGACACTATGTGTTGATCGCATTGTAAAGTGTAAGCGAATAAATTGATTTCACTTTCAGAGTGAAGTGTAGCAAATGGAAGGTTTTAAGGTGAAAGATGAACCGATGGATGCATTAGCCATAGACAGTCAGGTTATGGTAAACTTTTTGTATGAAACAGCAGCAGGTATATGGCATACTGCTGGCGCTGTCCAGAGTCTAACGTAACGATTACTTTAAGGATGAGAACATTGTGAGCGTCGTGCTTAAGGAGGAACCAGGCGATAGAACATTTGATCCAGACTACATGGAGGATATTTGCTCAGGCACTTTTGAGAAGGGCACTCTGTTTTTGCCTATCGAAAACAATGAGGTGGATTTCTCTAATGAAATGGTATGTACATAACAATTATAACTGCATAATCTTTTTATGTAGTTTTCTTATATCTGCTATAAATTCTAAATTTGGAGTAACGTTTGATAAAAGTATATACTTGTTTTTATAACATTTGCTGCGCTTAGTAGAAAAAGCACTTTGTAATTGTAATAAAATTCTTAAACATAATTGGCTTTGCCCTTATTTTCTACTAAATCTAAATATATAAATCAATCGTATTAAAGAATCTTACAACAGTTACAAAGCTGTTCTTTCTACTGAATGCAACCATATATTATGTTATAATATCTTTTTTAAGATCTTTTGTGAATTTTTACAGGTGAAATTAGAGTTGGAAGGAGAATCGACCAGTCATCAGAACTGGTCGCAAATAGCGAATACTAATTTATGTGACAAGGAAGATGTGATGCAACGATGCTTAACTAATGCAAATTTTATACAAACGCAAGACCCTGATAAGCACCAAGGATTCTGTCAAAATGGGCAACAACCGAAATTCTATAAGATCCAATGCTCAATGTGCAAGAAATGGTTTTTGAATAATGATTCCATGGTGACGCATCTAAAGACACACTGTAGTGGAAATCAATGTGAGGTCTGTCAACAGAATTTTACTGACAACTCTAGCCTGCATGCCCATATGTTAACTCATGTTGGAATGAGTCCATTAGAGTGCAACATCTGTCAAAAAAGATTCGCTTATAAATGGAGCTTAAGAAGTCACATGCAATTACATGTATTAGATAAACCTTATGATTGTGATGCATTACAGCAGGCTTTTATGAAACGAGCTGGTTTAAATGAACAGATAATGCCAATGGAGGACAAACCCTTTGAATGTGACGTGTGTCACATGACGTTTAAAGAGAAAATTAATTTGAATCGACACATGACCAATCACACAAATGCAGACAAACCCTATAAATGCACGATTTGTTTTGAGGCGTTCAAGGAGAAGGCGAAATTGAACATGCATTTGCCACTCCATACGGGAAATAAGCATTTCAAGTGTACATTGTGTCATAGATCGTTCGCCCAAAAAACTGCGCTCAACAATCACATGCTGGCACATAGTGGTGAGAAACCGCATGCATGTAACATTTGTGAAAAAACCTACAAGAGAAAATCAGAATTAATTAGGCATACTATGGTTCACACTGGTGAGAGACCATATGAGTGTAAAGAGTGCTTAATGACTTTTCGAGAAAAGGCCAAACTGAATTCACATATGTTGGTCCACACGGGCGAGAAACCGCATGAGTGTCACATCTGTAACAAGGCATGCGCAAGGAAGTCAGATTTGAACAGTCACATGTTATTACACACTGGTGGTCAATATGATTGCAAGGTTTGCGACAAAATCTTCACCAGGAAATCTGATCTGAATCGGCATACTTTAATACACACCGGTGAGAAACCGTTTGCGTGCAATATGTGCGACATGGCGTTCAGGGAGAAGACACGATTAAATTCGCACATGATCGTACATACAGGCGATAAGCGACACGCATGTCACATTTGCCAGAAGACATTCAAGGAAAAGTCGTCGTTGAGGAAACATATGTTAAGTCACACTGGTGACAGACCATATCAATGTTATGTGTGTCAGAAAGCTTTTACTCAGAAAACCACATTGACCAGCCACATCCTGATTCACGCCGATGACAGACCATTTGAATGTAGTTCTTGTCAAAAAATATGCAAAGATAAAGCAGCGTTGAAAAAGCACTTATTGGTGCACGTTAACGACAAAACTAACGAATGTCTTATTTGTATGAAAAAATTCACCCATAAAACAGCATTAAATAGTCACCTGTCAATTCACATATCCTAACTACACGGATCTAGTCTATTACGGCTTTCTGTTTCTTTACATTGAGCACCGTATGTTTGTAGTTGTATAGCATACTTCCATGATTACACCTACATATATCTGTTTTATATGCCAATAGGTCTGATAAAGTCGTATTTTTTCCTGTGTATGGACAAATAATAAATTAATTTCTAAGTAATAACAATAAATCACTTAATGTTCCTACCTAAAAGACGAATAAAATCGTTAATCCAGTTTAAAATCTATTTAATATATGCTATCTGAAAATCAATACATTGTGAAAGCGTTATAACTAAAAACTATTAAATTGAACACTCAAGAGATGTAAAATACTTTAACAGAAAAGTAATAACAAAAAGATAAATAAGGTAGACAAGCTGGAAACTCAAAACAGATATTTACATAAGTGTTACAAAAATATTGGAGTGACTGTTTCTGAAGCCTTTCTAACTTGAAAAAAATATATAATAAATTATAAAAACTATAATAATTAGATATTATTGGTTGTGGAAAGCTTATAATTAAATGAAATTGTAAGATAATTATTTTAACAAATTATATATATATATATATATATACATATATATATGAAACAATCATTGTCAGATTGGTAAAAATATAAGAACACAAAAAATATCTCGTAAAGAGATGTTGATTATTATATATCATTTATTTAACCCACGAACAGAATCATGTTATACATTTAAAATAAATTTCGGGTTTCCAGGTAGTTGAGAATTAGAAAGAAATACCTGAAACAATATTATAAAATTAATTAAAAAATCTTTAAATTATATTGAAATTATTACATATTTATACATACAACTAACTAATTATAATTTATAATATTCAATATATTTTTTAAAATTTATTGCATCATAAACTGCTACATTTTTATTGCCTTTGATAATATATTTTATACACAACTGATATTTGTAAATATACCGCATTATATAAAAACCAAATTTCTGAACAAACATTAGCAAAGAATTTCACAAAAATTGATTTTTAAAAATATATTATTTATTATTATACATATAATGTAACATTAATGTAGTGCAAGAAAAAATGTTCACATAATCGCACTGTTTTTACAAAAATATTTAATATAATATAATATAAATTTAATATAAATTATTGTAATAACGCATAGGAATCTTATGTACCAGATCACTGAGAGATTCGTCTTTTTTGGATTTTAATACACACCTCTGTATCCCATATTGTAATCTCGCTCCATGTATCCTCGTCCTGCCGTATTATATCCTTGTCCCATATTTTCATTGGAACCTCGATTGTTCCAGTTTCCTCTGCGACCGTTATCCATTGGCATCCTTCCCATGTCACGCATGCCTTATAAATTATATATAAAATTTAAAAATATTCAATCTACAATGTTTAATTAATTACATAAATTATACTCTAATGTTAGAAAACCATTTAAATTAGAAGATTTATTGTTGGAATATCTTTAGTTTTGTTGATTGTTAGTTCTCGTAAGACGTGAAATATATCTATAAATAACAACACTTAAATTGGAAACAATATCATTATTATTCACTTTAAAGACATCTTTCATTGATGTCAAAAAAAATAAGAGAAAAATAAAATTTCACACACGATATAACTTACATCTACATAAATGATATTTCATTAATCAAAACTTTATTTCTATAAAATAACAATATAAAAATCAATAGTTATCTTAAAATATAAATTTATTGATTAAAACTGCTTTTATAAAACAGCCATAATAAAAAAATTGACTTCCAAGATATAAATTTTATTATTGAAGTTATTCTTTATTAGATATTATTTCCATTGGTCATGCTCTAATGAATTCTCATTACATAAATAATAAGACTTACCAAGTTGTGCGTTAGATAGTTGAATTAATAATATTAATAGAATAGGAATTAATACAATGAGCTTCATGGTATATACTAGATTTTCAAGAAACACAGTGGATCTCGGAAGAAAGACTGAATCTATGTAACTAAAAACGTCCTTTTATACATTTCTCAGCAAGCTGATGTAATTACTTCTGCGTTGTAAGAATATTAAGGATAATAGCTCGCTCATTAACATGTACTGGGTGTTTGATACGTTGATCATTTATTCCTTCGGTTAATAAGATCAAACATTACTGCCTGTTATGGAAAACTAGAGTCCCTATTTGTATTGATTCAAGGACTTAATTATAAAATCTATCTTGCTTGAAATATAGTAAGACAAAGATAAACAATAACGCAAAGGTATTGAAAATTAATTTTTTAACGGACTATAGAATCATAACTCTATAATCCGTTAAAAAACATGGAATGGAATATTACATTACTAATTATCGAAATAACTGATAATAAGTACTTGTGACGTAAATTATTATACACGTTATTCTGAGAAATCTATTTACTTTTTCAGTTATCTAAGATATGTACAAAGGAAAAATTTTATCTACTCGTATCGATTACAAAAAATGAATGATACGTCAAATAAATATAAAATCTCTTTATACATAAAAAGCTTTACATGCATTTTAAGCATTTTATGATTAAGTGACAAGACGTCTAATATATATTACAAATTACAATATATTTCAAAATTACGTTATCGTCTGTATTTATTATACTTTAATATTCATCTTTTGATTAAACTGGTTATTAACCCTTCACGTCAACAGGATGATTTCCTGACCAACCTGTAATAATATTTAATATTTTAATATTCTATCCTACAATTTTTACATTAAATAATTACATCTCTCTTGGAATACATGTTTAAAAAAAAAATAATTCTATTGGAAACTTACTTCCGGCATTACTACTGGCAAAAGCAGAAGCACCACTAGAAGCCCAAGAATTAGGTCCGCCTTGATTTTGCGCACCATTTTGCGCAGGAGATAAATTTCCAAAATTATTGGCGGATCCTGCGAACATAAAATTATTTAATAGATTTTCATATAGATCAATAAAATTTGTTCGTCATAATATAATTTAAATTTAATTTAATTTTTGTTTAAAAATATTTCAAATATTACGAAATATCATACAAATCTTGTTAATAAATAGCTGAATCGCTACAAACTGTTGACATTTACTATTATCTTATAATAGATAGAAATGCATTAAGAAACATCATTGCTAGATATTACTGATATGATAAATTATTTATGGTCAATGCGAATTGTATGTATATATACGTGTATAGCAGCTTTTGTAGTCAAAGAACGGAAACGGATACTTGGAACCGGCGCTTACTATTAATTAAGACGCTGCTATCTTTGATTTATGCATCATTGTACGAAGGAACGCATCAATCACACACGTATTTCCAATCGTAATGCAAACCTGGCTGACCTTGAAGCCATTTTTCCCATTGTAAGAGAGATTACGTTCTTATCTCGCATATATTTGTTTCGTTTCAAAAAATACCGCTACAATGTCTCGCTAAGGCGTGATATTAGCCGTGAGAAAACTTCCATTTGTATGATCTACTTGACATCGCGGAGAGATAAATGCTATGGAATTATGAACGCATCGTTGACTTGATTTACAATCGGTACACACTCCCTCGTTCTAATCTTAATGATCGTATGGCTTGTTAACGCAACGCTGGTTATCCAATTTTAAACAGTCGTTCGTCTGCCTGTTTATTTTCAGGTGTTAGTTTAAATAAAAGACAAAGAAGCGATGTTTCTGTTAAGTACATTTAACATATTATTTTATCATTTTTAATAAATTTTACTGTTCACATCTATAGTTTAGGTATCATATTTTGAGATCCAAAATGTTTGCGCAATGATATATTTTATAAACAAAAACTTTTAATTTTAAAATAATTGCAAAATGTATAATAAATTATATATTTTCATGACTTTGTGGATGATATTATTAATTATAATTATTATTAATTGATATATATATATATTTTTTTCTATTTTTAAAACGTAATGTCTTCGAGCTATTGAAAGCAAATCGTACTTCCAAATTTTTTTCACAAAATTGTATTTTGCTAATGTCCACTATTAAAATACATTTTTGCAAGTAACGAACCTGGCGCGCCGGGAAAAGAGCCAGCGAAACTGGAACTGGAAGCTTGAGCAGAACTGAATGATCCAGCGTAAGCTCTCGCTTGGGCACCACTAATGGACGCCGCCAAATTCCCACCTGATCCTGGATGATCTGCGCTGGTAGCGAATCCTCCGAGATTCCCACCAGGAACATTGCCAACACCTTTTGGATTTCCAGTACCGGTTCCAACATTTCCGCTGAATGTTCCTCCTGGGTATTTTCCATCTGCGTAGCTTCCACTACCGGGCGTTCCACAACCAAACAGACCCAGCTTACATTGTAATGGATCAGGACCTTGAGGATTGCTTCCCGATCCAGGATAACTTCCTGGTGTCCCTGAGCCAGGATAATTTCCTGGTGTTCTTGATCCGGGATAATTTTCTGGTGTTCCTGATCCAAGATAATTTCCTGGTGTTCTTGATCCGGGATAATTTCCTGGTATTCCCGAGATAGGGAAATTTTCTGGTGTTCCTGAACCAGGATAATTTCCTGGTATTCCTGAGCTAGGGAAATTTTCTGGTGTTCCTGAACCAGGATAATTTTCTGGTGCTCCCGATCCAGGATAATTTCCTGGTGTCCTTGAGCCAGGATAATTTCCTGGTGTCCTTGAGCCAGGATAATTTCCTGGTGTTCCCGATCCTGGATAATTACCTGGAGTCCTTGAGCTAGGGTAATTCCCTGGTGTTCCTGAGCCAGGATAATTTCCTGGTATTCTTGATCCAGGATAATTTCCTGATGTCCCTGAACCAGGATAATTTCCTGATGTTCCCGATCCTGGATAATTACCTGGAGTCCCTACACCAGGATAATTTCCTGGTGTCCCTGAGCCAGGATAATTTCCTGGTGTTCCCGATCCAGGATAATTTCCTGGTGTTCCTGATCTATCTGGATATTTACCGTATGACGGACTACCTGAGTCACCACTTCCACCTATCAAAGGTATAAGAAAAGGATTGTTTCCTTCTGGTATCGGCTTTTCTTCATGAGGGATCACATTTCTATCATTGTTGCTATATCCAGGCTTAGGACGATTCCAACTTGAATCGAGAAAAGGATTTCCTGGACCAATTGGTTTATTATTATCTGTATTTTCAATCCAAGGATTCGAATTGCTGCTTGGAGTACTGCCTAAACAATAGATTAAGATATAACTGACATTATATACATATTTTTACAGATTATTAATATATGTTTATGCAGATCAAAAGTTATATGTATTATTGAAATTTTGAGAAATTAATATATCGTAATATTTGAGAATATTTAATCATACGTATTTCATATAATTTACATGTGCTGAACTCTAAATGTATTTTTTTATGTGATGAATTGTTTCTGAATACAAATTTATTGTTACAAAAGATTTTTTTATAATATAATTTTTTTTTTAATTATACACTACTATTATTTTATAAAAAGTAAAAAATGTATAATTTATAAAAATGACAAAGATTTAATTAAAATTTTCAATTAATAATGCACATACTTCCAACTCTATATAAGAATGGATTTGCTGAATTCCATGACACAGGCCTTTCCGATGTTATACTTGCGCCTTCAATGAGAATTAAAATTTAGCTTTATCATATCTCTCTCTATATATAAATTTAGCTTAATCATATTTATAACTATCAAACAGCTAGCATGTGATATCTCTTGTATTATTTTATATATTACTTAAAGAATAAATATTAAAATATTTATAAAATAAGAAGGGCTACGAATCAAGAAAGCTTTCTTGGCTCGTATAACCCTTCTTATTTTATATTTATTTAATTTATTATTTGATTGTATATCATGTTTATTAAAATGTATATTTATTTAAATATTGTGTAAAATAACGTTAGCTGTCTAAATAGTTAAATATTTAGTTAATTTATAAATATTATTAATCTCATTTTTGTCGTACCTTGCGTTTCAGGGTAAATTGGCCTAATACCAGCTTCGGTATTATGAAGTGAATCTGGTCTATACGCTCCAATATTTGGAACATTTCCATCACCAGTTCCAGCGGGATAGTATGTTTTATTAACACCACTAGGACCTATTACTCCACCACACAATCCATGTGTTGATACGTTATCTTTTCCACTACAACCGCTGTTGCAATTATAATTCCCACAACATCCTCCACAATTACTACCTCCTTGCAAACCAGTGGTACCTCCGCAATTTCCACCTGGCCCGCATCCAGGTCCACTTCCAGGTCTAGGTTGTGCCTGACCTGGCCATATTCCACTTCCATCTCCTGGTTGCTTGCTAGGCCAACCTCCACTTCCTCTTGTAGGTTGTTCGGAAGGCCAAGTTCCACCTCCTTGAGGTTGCTTGGCAGGCAAAATTCTGTTAATACCTGGAGAATACGTACTAGGTGTAATTCCACTTCCATCTCCAGGTTTCCCACTAGTCCAAGGTCCAGTGCCACTACCAGGCTGTAGTCCTCTAGGCCAAGTATCACTTTCAATATTAGGATATGTATGAGGAACAGTTCCATAAGCAGGTTTAGTACTTCCGATAGAATCTTTGACCCCAGGAGTATAACTTGAACTTCCTCTGTACGCTGGTGTTGTACCATACAATGAGGTAGTCCTAGTTATGCTAGGAGTGCTGTATGTACCAGGAGACGTTCCAAACGCACTTGAACCAGCACTTGCAATTGCGCTACTACTTGCAATATTAAAATTAGGTTGTTTCGGTCCTGTTCTGTCGTATGGAGGAGATAATATAGAACTTGGGGTGCTAACGTGACTAAACGGAGATTTAGTTGTTCCAAATCCAGTATTTAACGTTGGAAATCCAGAATGAGGAGTACTTCCTGTACCATGCCAAGTGCTACTTCCGCTTTCAGTCTGACCTAACCAGGAAGTAGTACTTCCATAACTCGGTTTCGTGACACCCGGATGCTCATAAGTACCCAGTGAGCCTGGTGATTTTCTGGGAGCAAATAGATCAGTTTGAGGTCCAGGAACGGTTTTAGATGAATCGATTCTTTCATATGGTCCTTTAGTAGTTCCGATAGTATTTATTATAGTCGTGGGCGTATTATAAGGACCGGGTCTGGGTTTGTTGTAACCTCCTAGACCATAATAATTACTATCAATGTTTGAGGGTGCTTGATCTGTCTTTCCATATGGCGGCCCTTGCGGTGCTTGGGTATTTGCTGGCTTATGGAGATCAAATGGATGATCTGTACTTCCAAAGTTAGAGGTTGCTCCATAAGGGCTTCCAACACCAGATGTTACGCTTGCTCCAGCATAAGCGCCAGCATATGTGCCTGTACAAATAGAAGAATTATTTATATTAACATTCTAAAGAAATTTATTAATTATGTAATATCAGATATATACATATATTTCACCGTTTTTATCTGTATAAAAATATATAGTTATATTTTTTGCATTTTGTTATCCAATTTCTACATAATATTAAGTATTTGTACTAATATTAATGAGCAATAAGAATATATTGAATTATAAACACGCACTTTGCGTTCCTGGTTGTCCGTAAGGTCTATTCTGATATTCCTGCGGATTTCCGTAGCTTGGAGATATGGTACTTCCTGCATGTGGCACCGCGAAAGAACTGCTCGGGAATTGATTGCTGGGCCATCTTTGTCCGGGTTTTGTCGTTGCGTCGAAGTTTGGGACAGGTGCACCGGGTCTCTGCGATGAAGGAAATCTACCGTCGCGTCCACCGTCCCAAGAAGGTTTTGGCGAGGAACCAAAACTACCGGGTGTTGTTCCTCGGTTCCAATCTGGCCAAGAACTTGGTGTTGTTCCAAAAGCGCTCGGAGTTACGCTGCTGTAACCGGGTTTTGATGCATCAGCGAATGGAGTATTCCAGCTAAATCCAGGTTTCGGAGTACTTTCATAGCTACTGATTGGCCTCGAATATTCAGTGCCCGGATAATTGATACCCCCTAAAGAAGCCCCAGGGCTACCGCCTCCCCCATCAACATAGACACCCGTAGGTCCAGTCTTATGTACACCAGGTGGATGGGATCCTGGTTTGTGTCCTCTACCAGGACTATGATGATGCACTTTATCGGGTCTGTATTGCCCATCATCGCATTCATCCCCATCGTTTTCGTCTCCCTCCTCCTCTGGCTCATCCCGCTCCCAATATTCGTCGTTCTCCCATTTGCATTTAGAGCAGTCATCATTCTTATTATAGCCGTGACCTCCGCCTTTTATTCCATGATCATGGCTGGCGCCATGTCCCGAAGGCGTGCCGTAAGATTTTACACCACGGTTAGCATTGTTGTCTTGGGGAAAACCGGTGCTGTCGTAGCTACGAATTTCTTTATGCCTATCGTGAGCATCAGGAACATTTTCTGTGCCTTCAAGTACACTGGTGCTGCTTAATGCAGATCCCTGGTAAAAATTTTTCTCGTAATTTTCTATAAAATTTTTTTATAATTTTTCATATCAATTTATAAGTAAATGTATGAAATTATGGAAAAAAAATTACTTTCAAATGTATGAGAAAATATCAGAATTGAAATACTTTTATATAAGAAAATAAGAAAAAATACGACACATTTGAAAGAGGAAAATTTTAACAAATAATAACAAAATATAATAGAAAAAGTCATATTTTCTCATTATATTTGATGAGTATTTATGAATATAATTTATGAGACAGCTCATTGTGTGAGTATGATTTATGAAACAGATCATTCTATAAAGTATAAGTAAATATGATATATTATTTAAAAAATTATGAAAAATTATGAGAAAAATTTTTACCAGAGATGCACCGGCTCCATTGTATGCACCAGCTGATACACTATCTGAAAAAATTTAAAAAAAGAGCCATTTTTAATTGTTTAAACTATGATAATGAGCATACCTTTTCATCTCTTTGTTTCTTTTTTCTTTTTATTTATACAAAGTTTTTAAAATTACACACACACACACAATCGTCAAGTTATATATACTTCATGCACTTAATAAACATTTTATGTAATCTATTAACGTTGTCGCCGAAACATACTCACGTAAAATAATCGAGTATCATTGTAATAAATAAAGGTCCGAGTGTTGAAATTTATATATATAGTGCAATAGAAGAATATATATACATATGTATATAACTCTATTCTCACAGAAATAAAATTGACTGGATACACTTCTCATTTGTCTACAATAAATTTAATCTCGACACTTTCTGGACGAAGGTTGTAAATTTTTGTCAATAATTCATAACAGAAAATATTACATAATACACGTGAAAACAATTGTACTCCTCCGTAGATAGGCCAACAACCATATACGTAATTATGACGCGATGGCACCAAGGAGATGTGGCCTCCAATATTATTTATAAAGATGATTTCATTGAGTTGTACACAAAGGAGGAATAAATATACACATTAAAGGCATCGTTATTGCTTTCATTGTCTATTCGTGCACATGTATTTGAAATTGAAAAAATAATACAAGTTTGTAATTATAATTTTGACAGACTATGAATTAAAATCATTACAAATGTAATCAGATATAAAAAACATTTCTCCAAGCAGTTTTGATTACAAAATTATAGGCTCATTAATTATTATAAATTGCATATATTGTTGTAACTATATTAATAAATATCAATTTCTAAAATAATATAACTGTTTTAAAAATTGGTTAATAATATGTTTGGTCAAAAATAAATTACTTAATTTTAGAATCGTTTTATTTCTTAATTTACAATCTAAAAAATAGATATTTTTTGTATTTATCTCTATCTCTTTCTCATACATTGCAAAAGAAGAGACAGATAAAATAGTCACTAAAAAAAACTGTTTTAATAAATAGGTATAAGTATTTAAAAGAATAATTTTTCGTATAAATGCTCGTGCAATTATATTTTGATTTAAAAAATATGATCTGCCTGATTGAGCGCACAACAAATATTACGACACTAAAATAGATTTTACAATGTGAGAGACTACCTGAGCCGGCGAGAAACGCGCATGCGAAAAACACCACTAGAGAACATTGCAAGCTGCGGATCCACATCTCAGCGATCTCGGCAGAGGCCGACTCGCGAATGTTGCTTTACCGGTCGTTTCGTTTACACTGCGGCGCCGAGTGCCGATCCATTGCCAAGAGTATTCTGATCGAAAGCTCATATATATAATGAGGATATCCCCCAACAGTGAAAGGGACGCTACGGATCCCGAACGTCGCCGCGAGCGATCTGCGAAGGTGGCATCCTTAGCAGCCAGAGACATATTATCGTACATTGTCGAGCAATGAGTAATTATATTGTTTCTACTATTTACTACTACTAGACAATCAGATAGAAACAGTAAATGCGATGTAATAAAACGATGGAACTGGTTTGAGACGGTCCATTGCTGCCGGAGATGACTACGTCATCGTTCTTTAGGAGTTTCCCCGAGAGAGACTTCAATGCTTGTCACGTTTATACATCCTGTATGGCATGCTATGAGGACATGCTGCGAATCTGTGCACATTTTGTATTAATCTCGTACAAGGAGCTCTCTCGAAGACTTTTTCGTTTATCGTATCTTCTACCAAGATATCAATATTAATTAAAAAAATATACAACATATTCGAGGCTTTCACAGGTATTTTTTCTTCAATTATACCAGAAGGTTTGCGGCAAAAACATTTGCCAATGTTTCGTGATTAATAATGAAGAAAGACACGGCGATAACCCGCAAACCTTCTGGTATAATACAACATATTCATTAAATATATATCATTTTTTATTCAATTAAATGAATCTGAGTCTTTTAAATGACTTACTATAAAATAATAGAATTTACTTTTTCCCCCCTTCTAAGAACAAAGATACTTATTAAAAGTTTTTTGATATTTAAATTAGCTATTGTAAAAACCTGGTAAATATCAATAAATTTCCGTCTAACCTATAGAACACTATTTATATTTTTTATCTATTTATAATATATATGTGTATATATATTTATATTTTATAAACGTATGTTTTTTAATTCTTCAAATGTTTATCATATTATACAGTATACATACAACTATCAATAATAGAGTTCTATCCTAAATTTCAAAATAAAGTATACATTTTATCTAAAATAGTCGTTTAGGTTTACAAATTTACATTCATACTTCAATTTTAAAGATATTTTATCGTTAAAATCTCATAATTTTCATCACTAAACTTTGTATTTATTAATCAATTCTCCTCGATGAAAGAAATGATCATTACTGATTTATTGATTTGCTATTTGAAACGCAATTTGTGAAATGTCATGTATAAATCTAACATAATCATAAATAACAAATCGTTTTCATTGCGTATACGTTGCAGCTTACAATTAGATATGTTTGTGTCTACTGAAATTATTAAATTATTACTTCAAAAGGTATGCTGTAATTATTGTCGATTACAGTGCTTACATGTTAATTGCAATTGCAAGTCTCATATACACATATATAATACGCATTAAAAAATATAAATTCTCAAAATTAATTGATCGACTTCGACAGTTTCTTTAAATAATTACCATTAAATTCATTTTTTCCAATCACGACTATTTTTGTTTCGCTGATGATGGTTTGTCTCGAATCATTTTTATTCTTAGAAGAATCCAGTAAAAAATCTATGTCATATTTATTCTATTATATAATGCCATACGCCCCTATTTTCTATTTATTAATATACAACTCCCATGATTAGATTAGAGTATCACAAATTGTACATGCAATGCATTTCAATAACAGAGACTTTTCGGTGAATCATTTACGTCGGAATTCTTCTCGCATTGTGTATGCACGTGCAAACTTCATATAAATGTCGCAGAATTATGCGATCAGTATGCGCGCTACACGTAAAGAACAAAGACGAAATTACAATTTGTCGTGTAATAATACAAGAATAATAATAATAGCAATATCCGCAATCGTGTGTAAGTATTTTTTAAATTTATATGTCTCTTATTATATATTCTATATACCGATATTCTGAATGATAAAGTACAATTATAATTGGGGGAAAAAACGCAGGGTATAAAAATACACAGTCACAAAACGTATAACCGCCGTGATGCAGAAGCATGCTTAAGATGTTATCAAGAGAAACGAAGATTTCAATTTCCTTATTATTACGGCGTGTTACATCCGTGTTAACAGATTAATCGTACGATCAATGAAAATTCATGCAATACCGGATGCAGAATAATCTTAGACTTTAGAGGATACCAACGCACATAATAATTTGTCTGTCAAATTAAGAAGATTGCTATGCCGTTTTCTTAAAAAAAGGTTTAATTGTTACATTACACTTACGGTACTCTTCCTTTTCTTTCTTAAAAGTAGGTTTTATGAATAATTTTAACAAAATAATACAAAAAACTTCAAATTTAATTCTTTATATTAATATAATGTAAAAGCTTCAAATAGAAATATAATAATTATTTTAAAAATACATGGACAACTTTTATATATAGAAATATATAAATATATTTATAGTTTAATCTCTAATTTATGTACAAAATACAATTTTTGAAAACAGACATTTTTAATCTATTATTAAAAAAAGACAATCTCTTTCTTATAGAGTCGCAGTTTTACCGATTGTTATATTAAATTTAATATATGAGAACAAAATTAAACAAACTGATACTCAAATTTCAACAAAATACTAAATTTCTATAATAAAATAAGTTAGATTTAATAATAAAAAGCAGATAAAAGCATACATTATCAAAAGAACACAGAAATCATGATGTCATCGTGATCTTATTCGTCGCTTATAAATGACAAATGAAATCATTACGACGTGTCCTATGATATCATTATGACTCTGCGTTCTATTTAAACCATTGTGATTACATTCCACAACCCAAGAAACATATTAATTAAGTGGAAAAATCAAAATGACTTTATTTTAACGACGTAAAAATCAAAACGATGATTATTTTATTACAAAATGACTAATTAAGAACCAAAATTGAAAGTCATTTTGATTTTTGTTAGTTTTTATATATTTCTTGGGATGCATTAATATTAAATCCTCGAACGCGCGCGCGCGCGTAGAATACGTATAGCGCACGTCAATATTGTATAATATTAAGATATATACAATATAATTCTAAATATATTTAGAATTATAAACTTTTTCTTAAAGATTTCAATAATGATAAAAAGCGGTCTCAAATACTTGCGTGACTATTCGCGCCTCCCCCTGATTTAGAAATTTAAATTTCCTGCGTTTGTGCAACGGCATCGATTCGAGACGCGAGAATCGATTGATAGCGAACTGCAGCGCCAAGTTCACGTAGGTGGAGACTACTGGCACTACTGGTGAGTTGGTGACGCAGTTCCCGGTAATCCCGGTGAATTTCTTTTTACGTTAAAGAAAAGTTTTTGTTCGTTCATCGTAGAGTGGCATCGTAGAGTGGCACGTACACGTAAGTGAAAAAAATAATCTTATCAACTTCTACTATTCACCTTTATTATACGTGACGACTGCTTTTCCAAACGAAACGCAACGATAAAACACGTTGGAATGCGACAATAATTGTTTCCATCGCGTACTTTCCGGATAGAAAATTTTTCGATTTTAACACTTTAAGTGTCGAGAATTTAGATACTCGCTCGCACTGAAGGAAGCTCCAATCGTCGCCAATTTTTTTATTACGACCACATAGGAAAAAAATCATACACATTGCATTAACTATAAGACTATAACTTTGCACCTAACCCTATTCTCAAGCACGTTGAACTACTTGTGTACCTTCTTATTGTTACATGTTATTTCAGATATAAAGATTTAGTACCTTGCTAAGATGGCAGATTCTGACGATGAGTACGATAGAAAAAGACGTGATAAATTTAGAGGTGAGAGGACTGAGTCATATTCACGAGAGCGCAGAGACGATCGTAGGCGTGATGACTGGGTCGATAGGTAGATAATGTATTATATGCATCTAATCTTATTGCATTATTGTAACTTTTATAGGCAACAAATATAAAATTTTTATTTTTTTTTTCTAATCTATTAAAAAATCTATGCTGTATCTTCTTATATCAAAAAGAATTGTACATAATATATAAGCTGCTTATATAATTTTTTGTTATGCTTTTTTTATTATGCTATTTTTGCTATTACTGTTCTAGTTATACTGATAGTGATTCTTATAGAGAATGGTCCAGTCGCCCTAGGCAACGTCCAGATTATCGAGAATATCGAGGTGGTGGAAGTGGAGGTCGTGATCGTTACAGTCCTGCTAGATCTCAAGATATGGGACCACCTATGAAAAGAATGCGATTTGAATGGGACGACAGGCCGAGATATGGACATGAATATTACGGTGGAAGCGGTAGCGCCGGTGGTGGCGCCGGTGGTGGAGGTGGTGGTGGAGGTGGTGGTGGTGGTGGTAGTGGTGGTGGTGGTGGTGGAGGAGGAGGAAATTCTTGGAGCTCAGATAATTATGCCTCTCCTCACCATGGCAACCATCACTATGGCAGCCATAATAATAGTAGCAGGTTCGTTTGTTTTGTTATAACCAAGTTTGATCAAGTCTTTTCTGAATTTTGTTAGACTCTTATGACAAATATAATAAATGATGAAGAGAGCAGGATTTATGAGGATTCCGCCAAAACGGAGTCGTTTGACTCCAAAATTATTAGCTAAATTAAGGTATTTACATTTATAAAATGCAAAACCCTCACTAAACGCAGAAACCTATACAATTATTGTTTCTCTTCAGAAATCTTCTAGAAATTTCTATTTAAAGAGAAAAGAATATATAAATTCCTATTTAATGACAAAAATATTAATGCACTAATGTTTGCATTAAAATTATCTAACTAGCTATATAATAGTTATATAAGAACAAACATGTTGTATGGTAGATAGACTATTGTATTATAAATCAATAGTTATTATGTTTATATATATTATATACAGGGAATGGAAGTAACTCGTTACTTGTAACGAAGTTACAGTTACAAGTTACTTTTTTGGTAACTTTACTGGTAACTGCGTTACTTTCTTTTTTTGGTAACTGTAACGGTAACGAGTTACATTTTTTGGGTAACGGTAACGAAATTTACAGTTAC